TATATATATATATAGATAGATAGATAGATAGATAGAATAATTCTTATGTTCATGTATAAGATCATTATATGATGCATTCATGTGTTGGAAAAACAAATTTTAATGCAATATTGACTTTTACCCTCCATTCTTGTCAGTAGAAATTTTATCGACTCCTATATTTTTATGTTATCTTTTGGTCATCCTAAAAAACATGCTTGTAAGGAATCTTTGATTGAATTTTCACATTTAATTAGCAAGGTCTTTTTTTTTTTGTACCCACATGAGATATAATTGTTAAAGTAATAATTCATTTAATCATCTCTAAATAATGTTCTTTCTTTCATTTCAAATATAGGCATTCAATAAAATCAACATGTAATTAATAAGTTTGAGATGAACAACTGAAATGCTCTTTTAAGGAGTATTTAATCATCCCAAGATGTCGAGTTTTTCCACCCAAGTACTAAGTTTCTCCATGGTGATAGAGTATCTAAAGTAGTAGTATATATTTTTTTATTATTTTGCTTTTGTTAAAAAGATTGGATTTTTCATCTAAAATAAAGCTTAAGGATCTCATTTTATGTGTTATCTTATTTCCCATCAAAACTTTCATTATCTTTCCATTGTTGTGAAGGTGAGTTCCTTAAGAGGGATCCATCTTTTTTTTTTCACGATTTATCATCAAAATATATTTAATTAATGCAACCACCACTATCGTCATCTATTATTGTATGATTTTATCCAAGTATTTAGATTTTATTCTATGCATTGTCAATATTATTAACTTACCATCACCTTTTTTTCTTTAAGATCTATAATCAAACATAATTCTTTATTCCTCTTATATATGTTCTTTGTTAATATCATCCAATAACCAAAGTAGAATCAAATCCTTAAGTTGAGTAGGGAGGCATAATATGAAGACTGCTAATCTTGATTCTTCTTTTTTTTTTACACCTAATTCATTACATGAAGCTTAAAGATTTGAAATAATGGTAGATGATGTTGATGATGACATGACATTGAAAATTAGAGGTGATGATTAAATGATTATTGTCATATACTAACAATCAGGTGAAGTCTATTAGTAATTAGAAGATGATGATTAGGAGACTGATAAGACATCGAGAATTAAATTTTAATGATTAGGCTATGGAGATAGAACGAAGGTGATAGAATATGACAAATTGATGATATTGGTTGAGCAATAACACGTACTAATGATTCTGATCATTGACAATGATCATTAACATTTTCCATAAAAAAAAGGGCTATAGAGTTCTTCATATTGCTAAGTTGTCTTCTAATTCAGTTCAAAATATAGATTCATGGAGAATGACGCACAATGTATAGTTTTCTGTAGTAGCATTTTGATTACTTTAGCCAAAATCATTAAAAATACTCTATTGGATGACCAGTATTGATCATCTTATTCATAGATAGTTTTTTCAATATTCTAGTACATTAATAATCTTAGAATTCAATAATCTATCTCGTCGGATTTCTGTGAATTAGACATTTATTACGATATAAACAAATTAATCCAAATATTATTTTAGTCTTCAACTAATTTCACAAAATAATTTATAATTGTGCTTTTAGACATTGATTTGAACATATTTGAATTTGGGTAAGGACAATTTTAATGCCATTGGATTTGTCCGATCAAAATATTTAGCTCTACTATAAGCTAGTTGAAATAAAAGTTTAAATGATTACGAATTTAATTAAAAAAAATTAAATCAAGAAATTGCATTTACATATCTAACACAAATTATTATGCATTTACATATCCAACACCATATATATGCATAAAAATGTCTATTCAATTCCTTTTAAATTAAAATAGTGATATTTTTGTTGTGATATGGAAAATATAAGTGGTATAAATGTAAAAAAGAAAAAGTAAAATGTGGGTATTTGACGTGTAAATAGATAGCGTTTTGATTGGGTTTCTCGTTTGCTGGGAAGATTGAGACGGCGAAGGACGTTCTTCGGAAGCGGGGCTGAAAGTCGGGAGAGACGGAGATTTTTTTGGAAGAATTTGGCAGCATTGTGAGTGAGAAATTTTGAATGGCTGTTTGAAATTGATGCGTGGTTTCAGATTTCGTTTTGTTTGCTCTTACCAGTCGATATTGATATCATGAAGCTTACTTGATTCATTTAGTACCTATAAATTTCTGAGTTCCATAGATGGAGTTTTCCTGAAGATTTGTGTACCGGTATTAGGTAGTTGGATTGTCTCTTGTTTCGAGATTGGGGTTGAGCTCATTAATGTACATCTTGATGCCGCGCGAATGATTTTTTTTTTGCAGTTTGAGCTGGCCTGATGTTTTCTGACGTTGATAAATGCCAAAAATTAGGTTTAAGATTTTTATAGCTAAGCCACGCTTTTGTCTGGCCAGAACTAGCCGACATTTGGGTAAGCTGCTCACATCAAATTTTCCATTTGTGATGGAAAAGATTGATGCTTGTTGGCTACACATTTTTTTCTTATACAAACAAACATGTCTCTTTCATGGAGGAAACAGTAAAATTTAAGCAAGAATCAGATAGTTGAGGGCTATAAGAACCTTAGCAAGAACTAGTGATAGAATGAACGTCGCATAATAGGATAAATAAAGGATATGAAGACAAGATGATCATTATCATTCGATTTTCACCACAATTTTTAGTGTTTTTTTTGGGTCTGAACTTATGAATCCTCACTCTTCATTTATTCATGTTGTGTTTGCATGCATTGATGCATTGTTAGCTCTTGTTTCGTATATATGTATATATATATATATATAT